GAAATATACAAGAATTTGCCTTCATGGCATTGAAAACTTCCAGGGACATGTTTAAAGGCATTGATGTAATTTGTTGTTTTATTTTGTTTGATTTTATTTAGAAGAAATCTGTGCCTTCCTACTGTGGAGAAATTACATTAGTGGAGATACTGTAGCATACTTAGAATGAGGAAATGGGCGTTTGCCTTAGCAGCTTCCAAGTAAGGAGGGACTTTATTTTTTTAAATAATAAGTTAAAATTTTAAAATAAATTTCTGACCTCCATTTTTAAAAATAATATTCTGGGTGTAATTGACACACACTAAATTGCACATATTTACATATTAAAAGTTTTTATACACACCTGCCATCTATGAATCCTTTATCACAATGAAGATAATGATAGTTAATATCCAATTCAGAACTAAAGAATGTCCTCAGCTGTCCCCATTTCAGAATTTACTGTGGTATAATATGATATAATATATAATATATTATATATAATATTATATATATACCACAGTAAATATCATATTATACCACAGTAAATTCTGAATATGTATATTATATATAATATATATTATATAATATAATGTGGTATAAAGGCATACAATGAGGACTCAGACTGTTTAGGTTCTAATGGCAGCTTGATCAGTCTTTAGCACAGTGGATTTGGAGAAAATATTTCATTTTTGAAAATTTTAGTTTGCGGCCAGGTGCAGTGGCTCACGCCTGTAATCCTAGCACTCTGGGAGACCAAGGAGGGCCGATTGCTTGGGGTCAGGAGTTCGAAACCAGCATGAGCAAGAGCGAGACCATGTCTTTACTATAAAAAGAAAGAAATTAATTGGCCAACTAATGTATATAGAAAAAATTAGCCGGGCATGGTGGCGCATGCCTGTAGTCCCAGCTACTCGGGAGGCTGAAGCAGGAGGATCCCTTGAGCCCAGGAGTTTGAGGTTGCTGTGAGCTAGGCTGATGCCACGGCATTCACTCTAGCCAGGGCAACAAAGCGAGACTCTGTCTCAAAAAAATAATAATAATAAGGAAAATAAAATAAAAAAATAAAATTTTAGTTTGCTCATGTCTAAAGTGAGACTGATCAAAATCTGCTTCAATAACTTCACAAGATTGGCATAAGGATTTATGTGGAAATGTTTTGAAAAGTTTAAATCATATATGTGCTTGTATTTAACTGTCAGAGATAAGTTTGGTATTAACTTTTGTGATTTTGGCTACAAAGTTATTCTAAAGTAATCATTTTTATTTAAAAATCAAATTAAGATTTTCTTCTACTTGTTACTTACCTCTTGGGTACATTGAACACTATCCTGGTGACAGGCACAGTGACAGCCCTGAATTTGGCATTATCCAATGTATCCATGTAACAAAAACATTTGTACTCTCTTAATATTTTGAAATAAAAAATAATAATAATCAAATTAAGAAAATTAAATTGAAATATTTTTGTTGAAATAAATATATCAATTTTATTTTTTTGGCCTCAGTATTAACATTCCAAGCAGAAACATCACTAGGTTAGTCTACCCTGTAACCAGAAAAAAAGAAGTTTTATTCCTTCCTTTTAGAAGAGCCAAACTTTAAGATTTATACCTTTTTTAAATTTCAATTTTTTTTTTAAATCAGTGTGAATAAGGGCAGATTCCTTGGTAGGAGAATAAAAAATTATATTTTCTCTTTTGTGCCATCTGAAAAGATTGCCCTGGGGTAGGGAAAGACAAATAAGCAAATAGGAGGAGGAATGGCAAAGAAGGACTTTGGCAGAGGGGATACATGGTGCAAAAGTCATGATCAAGAGGGATCATGAAATTCTGAGAAACTAAATAAGGTCTAAGTGAATATGACTATCACTCAGACATCAGGGAAAAAGATCCCAAGATGGGCCTGGTGAGGAAGGTCGGAAGGGCTAACACACAAGATATTCCTTCCTATAGGCCATGGTTGTGAGTCTGAGTTTTGTTCTAAAGGTAATCATCAGCAATTAACATTTTTTAAGCAGGTTAATTTCATTACTGATTTGTAGCTATAAAGATTATTCTTCCTCTGGGGTAAAGACTAGATTAGATAAGAACAAAAGGAGTTTCCTGAAAATCAGTCAAGGTCAACAGCATTAGTCCAAAGGACAATCTTTTGAAATTATGGGCAAGAGAGAAATGTGAAGGAGAACCCAATTATTAGAGCAGTATTTACAAATAAAGACTCCTACAATTTGATCCAGCAATCCCATCACTGAGTATCTACCCAAAGAAAGTCATTTTATAAAAAAGGACGCCTGCATACAAATGTTTATAACAGCACAATTCATGATTGCAAAAATATGGAATCAATCTAAGTGCCCATCAACTAATGAGAGTACACAGAAAATGCATATCTTAGAGGGAGAAACCAAGATGACCAACTAGAGACATTACTTGTCAGACCATCCCAGGGGGAAGGTAGGATAGCATATTGAGAAGAGGGGAGATGAGCTGCAGCTCAGATGTGGATCACAGAGAGTGATGACAGAGATGGCTGGAGACCCCATAGAGAAAAATTGTGACACCTGAGAAGGAAGAAAATAAAGAGGAGAAAATATTGGTGAGAATAAAATCCAGGGAGGCTCAGAGCCCAGTGAAAAGGGTAAGAAAGAATTGAGTCTTTGATTTGGTTCTCACTTGTACTTTTGTTGGAGTATATGAATGCCTCTGACTTCTGTGTATTGATTTTGTATCCTGAGACTTTACCAAGTTCATTTGTCAGTTCAAGGAGTCTCTTGGTTGAATCCTTGGGGTTTTCTAGGTATAATATCATGTCATCACCAAAGAGTGAGAGTTTGAACTCTTCTGCTCCCATTTGGATGCCCTCAATTCTGCTCTCTTGTCTGACTGCTGTAGCAAAGACTTCCACCACTATGTTGAATAGAAGTGGAGATAAAGTATCTAGGAATATATTTAACTAAGGAGGTAAAAGACCTCAAGCAGAAAAATAGCAAATAAAGGTGAGAAAAAATAGCAAACCCCCCCCCCCCCACCACACACCCACCCCAAACTCATCGGGCAGAATCAACATTCTTAAAATGTCTATACTACTCAAAGTGACCTACAGAGTCAATGCAATCCTTATTAAAAACCATCATTCTTTCACAGATATAGACAAAATAGTTTTACGCTTTGTATGGAACCAGAGAAGACCCCATATAGTAAAATCAATCCTAGGAATAGGAGGTATCAATTTACCAGATTTCACACTATACTACAAGGCTATAGTAATTAAAACAGCTTGGGACTGCCACAAGAACGGGACGTTGACCAGTGGAACAGAACAGAAAACTCAGATATAAAACCATCCTCATATAGCCAACTAATCTTTGACAAAGCAGACAAAATGTACACCAGGGAAAAGAATCCTTATTCAATAAATGGTGCTGGAAAACTGGATAGCCACATCAGAAGACTGAAACAGGACCCACACCTTTCACCTCTCCACAAAATCAACTCATGCTGGGTTACAGACTTGAACATTAGATGTGAAACTATTATAATTCTAGAGGAAAACTTTGGAAAACTCTTCTAGACATTGGCCTAGGCAAAGAATTTATGAAAGACCAACGGCAATCACAGCAGCAAACAAATAAATAAATGGGACATGATCAAATTAAAAAAGCTCTGCACAGCCAAAAGAAACTGTCAAGAGAGCAACAGACAAGCACAGAATGGGAGAAAATTTTCGCAAGCTACACATCCAATAAAGGGCTGATAACTAAATATTATTGGAAATCAGAAAATCAGCAAGGAAACCAAACAACCTATCAAAAGTGAGCAAAGACATGAACAGAAATTTTTCAAAAAAGACAGAATAAAGCCACAAACATGAAAATGCAACATGTCTAATCATCAGGGAAATGCAAATCAAAACTGCAATGAGGGCCGGGCGCTGTGGCTCACGCCTGTAATCCTAGCTCTTGGGAGGCCGAGGCGGGCGGCATTGCTCAAGGTCAGGAGTTCAAACCAGCCTGAGCAAGAGCGAGGACCCCGTTTCTAACTATAAATAGAAGAAAAAATATGGCCCAACGACTATATATAATATATAAATTAGCCAGGCATAGTGCGCATGCCTGTAGTCCCAGCTACTCGGGAGGCTGAGGCAGAAGGATCACTCTAGCCAGAGTTGAGTTGCTGTGAGCTAGGCTGACCCGCACTCACTCTAGCCGGACAACAAAGCGAGACTCTGTCTCAAAAAAAAACCAAACAAAAAAAAAAAAAAAAAAACTGCATGAGATATCACTATCTCCAGTAAGAATGCCCTTTATCAAAAATTCCCCAAACAATAAATGTTGCATGGATGCGGAGATAGAACGACCCTCCTACACTGCTAGTGGGACTGCAAACTGGTTCAGCCTTTGTGGAAAGCAATATAGAGATATCTTAAAGCGATACAAGTAGATCTACCATTTGATCCGGCAATCCCACTACTGGGCATCTACCCAAAAGATCACATGACACTCTACAAATGGGACACCCGCACTCAAATGTTTATAGCAGCACAGTTCACAATCGCAAAGGTGTGGAAACAACCCAGGTGCCCTTCAATACATGAGTGGATTAATAAAATGTGGTATATGTATACCATGGAGTGCTATTCAGCTTTAAGAAACGATGGTGATATAGCACCTCTTGTATTATCCTGGATAGAGCTGGAACACATTCTACTAAGTGAAGTATCTCAAGAATGGAAAAACAAGCACCACATGTACTCACCAGCAAATTGGTATTAACGAATTAACACCTAAGTGGACCTATAGGAGTAACATTTATCGGGTGTCAGGCAGGTGGGGGGGAGGGGGAATGGATATATACAAATATAATGAGTGAGATGTGCAACGCCTGGGGGATGGTCACGCTTGAAGCTCTGACTGGAGGGGAGGGGGGCATGGGCAATATAAGTAACCTTAACATTTGTACCCCCATAATATGCTGAAATTAAAAAAAAAAAAACAGGCAAGAGAGTTTTACCCTCCCTCCTACACAACTTGGGTTAACAGTGGGCTGCTAAGTTTATGGAAGGCTTTCCCACCCTTCACTAGCCCAGGCATGGCAGCAGGTAAGGAATGGTGGGGTGGACGAGTGAGCCCCAGGAGCTTGGGCAGTCTGTGAGGGGCTCCCCCTGGGAAAGTACCATGAAAGGCCAGAGTGCTGGCTTTCTTTCCTCCAGACACTTCCTCCCCAGAACCTCCCCTAATTACTACAACCAAGAATGCAGTTTGAGCTTGGGCTGAGCTCTGGCTGACCGGAAGCTGTGGCCCCTCCCCCACACGTTACAACTGTGAGAGTAGTTTGAACTCCCTGCCCATCAGCGTTTCACTGGGTCGCACACTGGTGACTCAGGTAAGCAAGCCCGTCCTAGTGTCTCCCGGACACAAGAAGGGTGAAGGGCGATGCAAGGGAGAAGTCTGGGAGCTGGACTTAGGTGGCAAGGAAGCCCATATGGACATATCTGATGGGAGAGTGTGGAGGGGTGCTAGGGAACGGGGATCTGGGAGCCTGCCTATCTCCCCTGCTGGAGAACTGCCCTATTGGATAAGGGTGTGGCATTCATTATTAAATTGAAACTTGCTGATCAGCACTCAAGTGCACAAATTGAAGTAAAACTCAACAGAAATTAATCAGGTGGGAGGGGAGGGAATGGGGAAAATCATGCCTAATGGATACGATGTACACTATCTCTGTGATTGGCACACTTATAACTTTGACTCAAGCAGTATGAAAGCAATCCATGTAACCCAAACGTTTGTACCCCTGTAATACTCTTAAATTAAAAAAGAAAGAAGGAAAATGTGGTATATATAATATATATACACTACAGAGTACTACCAAGCCATAAAAAGGAATGAAATAATGCTGTTGCAGCAACTTGGATGGAACTAGAGAAAATTATTCTAAATGAAGTATTCAGAAATGGTAAAACAAATACCACATGTTCTCACTTATATATTGGAGGTGCATGAGTGCATGCACTATGCATATGACTATATGTATAGTCATAAAGAGGTGTAAAGGACTTTGAAAACTAAGAAGGCGGAGGGTGGGAGGAGGTAAATGGATAAAAATCTACCTATCAGGTTAATGTATCCTATTTTAGTGACAAGTACACTGAAAGCACTGATTTCAGCATTATACAATTTATCCATGAAAATAAAAATTAAAAAAAAAACACTTGTACCTCCTAAATCTATTGATTTTTTTAAAGTAAAAAAAAAAAGACTCCTTAATTTACTTTTTACCAGAATTCATAAGGGTTTTTATTTATTCATTTATCTTTTCACCATTCCCTAATCATCAATAACAGCTACCACTTCATAAATGCTTATAATGTACAAGATGTGTATGTATTACGTGGATAATTTAATTTTCACACAAACCATGAGGTAGCTACTACTCTAAACCACATTTTACTGAAGCTCAAAGATGTTATTTTAAGGTCACACATTTACTAAGTAATCTGAGTATTTCAAACTCAAAGTGCCCAATATATAAATTGTTAATATATAGATTTTTGCCTTGGTGATAATGACTAGAGAAAATCTCTTTTGATTTATTAGCAGATATATATATATATATGCTGTCTTTATAACTAAATCTATGCTCCTTCAACTTAGGGACTATAGTAATGTCTTTGATTTCCCCAGTATCACATTTAGACTAACAACGTATATACTCAATAAACATTGTTGAATGACTAAGAATGAAAATTTTAAGTTAGATATAAATAAAAACAGTTGTTATTATGGACAGTCTTATGAAAATGAAGTTTTTCTGTGTTTTTGCTAAACAACATTATAGCTACTTTCATTAATTTTCACTAATTGAATCTAGTAGTTTATTTTTGTACTTCTGCTGACACAGAGAAAGGGGGAGAAAACCAATAGTAAACTCAGTCTATAAGTATGCATGTTGCTTTTTAGGGTATAATATATTGCACTAGGAATCAAGCTAACTCCAGACATCTCATTTTTGGTTAAAGTTTGATGTAGAATGGAGAAGTGAAATACACTATATTGTACATTCCAATCTCCATGTTAAAACACTTTTGTCAAAAGTTTGCAAATCTTGCATCTTGCATACCCTAGTAGGCATCTTTATTTATAATGCAGACGCTTTGTCATCATAAATTGCAGTCTATCATGTTGTATGATAATGTACCATTATGGCATAATTTCGAGGTACTTTTATCTTGAGCCAACAAATAGTTCATGCTTTAAAATAATAATTCATGTTCATTCATAAAAGGCATTTCATGACACAGTTACTTAATCTCACCTGTGTCCTCATAGACATTGAATGGTTTCTTTGGAGAAGCCATAGACTTGAAACATATGTCAAGAATTCATAGTCACTAGTCACATGCCTTTTGCATCTTGGAACCGGTACCTTATTAGTGCAAGAACTTGAACCAAGCAAGGAATACAAAAATATTCAGTTTTGTAAGCCAGACAACTTATTTCCAACACCCAGATGCTAAATGTTAAACCAAACTATTTTAAAACCAGGCAATTGGGAGGCTTCCCAAACACCCCAGCGAATTGTCTCACTGGCAAGATCATAAATGATTATTACGAGAAATGACAGCTTGGTCCCTGCCATGGCTGGGCATGACAGAGTGTTACAGAATTCAAAGAAATTACTGCAGTTGCTTTAGCCTGGAAAATAATAGTAACGTGCTAAATCAGTAAGTTCAAATTGAGAAATATTTAATGTCAGAGAGGATGACTATATTCAGTTTACCTGAGGGAGTCTGTAAAACAAATACAAGATGACTAAATGCCATTAATGTCTAACCAAATTTGAAAATAACAAGATTCAAAGCAATCATCTAAAAGACTTCTCAATTTTGTTTACTTGCTCTTAAAAGGGGAAACACACACACACACACACACACACACACACACACACACACACAAAGGCAATAAAGTTCCTTAACACTGAATCTTTTGTTAGGCCTAGCCCAAAACTCTTCTAACAATAAAGTCACTCTCTAGATAACTTGTCTTCAAATAGAAAACATGATTGCCAATTTTCTATTATGCTAAGCTTCTTACTAAACTACCAAATCTTTATATCAGTTAAGCTTGAAGCAGGAAACAGCTGGCATGCTCAAATAAGGATAATTTGTAGAGGGCTTAATCAAGACACTCTTGACAAATGTTTTTGGCAGGGTATAGGGAAACCATAAGACATAATGGACAACCTTGGAGCTGTTACCATCCTTAGGGCTGAAAGGACAATGGGATGGAGTGATTTTCAGAACCCAGAAGAGAACCACCTTGAGAGGAGTTACTAGCCTTTGTCAGAGAGGCAGACCCTTCAGAGATGGAGATTAGAGAATTAATTCCTTTGACTTTACACAAGTTACTTCTGTTTTCTCTGTTTACCTAACTCAACCAGAAGCCAGAAGGCAAGGGAGCCAGTTTCCACATAGTAAGCTTCCTGGGGAAAGAGCACGGGTGGAGAAAAGATCTGGAATATATGCCAGAGAGAAGTAGTTGAAAGATCCTTTTTATGAGACTCATTATTTTTCCTGGGACAACCCTTTTGGCTTCTTGGGACTCAATCCCCTAATCTGTAAAATGAGATAGTTCAAGGCTCTGCTCCCTTTGCAAGGAAAGAGAAGGGGTAAAAATATCCTCTTAAGTCCCACAGAGAAGCAATGAAATGAAATCTAAACTGTGAGATTCCTTAAATGCTATCATCACTCTTAAATAAAATTTGGGCAAGTTTTCCATGTTTTTATTTTTTATCTTAGTATATGATTATACTTATCAAGGCTGTAACTTACCTCAAATTCTGAATTAGGTACATTTAGACGATTTGAAATTCATAAGATGATTTGTATCAATAAAGAGTAGATTTTTTAAAAAAGAATAGAATATTTTTTAATGAGTTTTCTCTGCTTTAAGTTTCTTCCAAACACATTCACGTGGGGATTCAATTCAAGAGTGACTTCTTTGGGAATCCTTTCCCAGCTGCCAAGGTAAAAGGACTTCTTCCTTTGCATATCCAGAACAGTTCTTACACAAATGTATTATGACAATCATCAGAGGATATTATAATAGCTTTTAATTTATCATTCTTCCTGGCAAAACTGAAATATTTTAAACCAGAAACTGTTTATTTTTATTTTTGTAACCAAAGTGCTTACAACATATTTAACATCCAATAATTATTTACTGATGGAGTAGTAAATAAAGGAGTGATTTAAAAACATGTCCTTCTGCTGTATGGGTTTATTTCTTTTGTGGCTGCTGTTTCTTTTAAAGTAACTATCTATGGACTTCTAACTCAGCTTGTACTTTATTTACTTAGGTACATAAAGATAAAATCTTTTGTTTATAAAATAGTATTACCAACATTTGTATTTTACTGAAGAACAAAAGATAAAATCTTTTGTTTATAAAATAGTATTACCAACATTTGTGTTTTACTGAAGACATAATCTTTTTGGGATCACACTCATATCTTTGATAAATATTTCAATGATATCACCCTCTAGATCATTGCCTAAATACAACTCTCCTTGCTTTTTAATATTTTAGTAGAAAAAGTGAAGAGGTAGTGAAAGGGGTATATATTAAATTAAAAACTCATCCATACCATACTGAAATGCCAGTTCTAATCTTTCAAATTTAGATTAAAAATCAAATATTATTTTTATGCTAGATTGTAAGAAGTTAAAAACTGCCCTGCACTAATAGATATGTGTGAATATGTGTTTTCAGTGTGTGTTTATGTGTGAATAACAAGGAAAATCCAGAAACAAATTAATTTCTTTGGAATTCTTCCAAACTCATTCCGTGAGCCTAGATTACCTTGATATCAAAACCAGATAAGGACACACACACAAAAAGGACCATAGGCAAATATCCCTGATGAACACAGACACAAAAAATCTCAACAAAATACTAGCAAACTAGATCCAATAAGGAGTATATTAAAAATATTATTCACTGTGATCAAGTTGGATTTATCCCAAGGATGGTTACATGTATATAAATCAATAAATACAATACATTACCTCAACAGAATGAAGGAAAGAAACCATATGATCACCTCAATAGACAGAAAAAGTATTTGATAAAATTCAACATCCCTTCATTATAAATTAGGTATAAAAGTAATGTAGCTCAACACAATAGAGGCCATATGACAAACCCATAGCTAACATCATACGGAACATGAACAAGCTAAAAGCATTTTCTTCTAAGAAGTGGAATAAGACAAAGATGCCCACTTTCAGCACTCTTACTCAACATAGTATCGGAAGTCTTTGTCAGAGCAATTAGGCAAGAGAATGAAATAAAAGGCCTGAAACTGGAAAGAGAATGTCAAATTGTTCTTGCAGAAGACATAATCTTCTGTACAGAAAATCCTAACAGTTCCACGAAAATACTCTTATAACAGGATATAAAATCAATCATACCCCAACAACAGACTAGCTGAAAAAGAAATCAAGAAAGCTATTTGATTTATGAGAGCCTCAAAAATAAATAAATAAGCAAACAAACTTACGAATAAATTTGACCAAAGAAATGAAAGATCTCCATAAGAAAAACTATAAAACACTGATGTAAGAAATTTAAGAGAACACTGAGACAGGAAAAGTCATCCCATGTATATGGATTAGCTGAATTAATCATGTGAAAATGACCACAGTACCAAAAATGATCTACAGATTCAATGCAACCCCTGTTAAAATACCGATGACATTCTTTACAGAAATAGAATTAACAATCCTAAGCCTCATATGGAGATGGAATAAACAAGCTTAAAATTCATATGGAAAAATCCTAAAATTCATATGGAAGACCACAAGTAACCAAAGCAATCCTGAACAAAAAAAAAACAAAGACGAAGACATCACATTATCTGACTTCAAAATACTCTACAAAACTCTAATAACCAAAACAACATGGTTCTGGCCTAAAAACAGATACATAGGAAGGTAGAAATGAATAGAGAACTCAAAAATAAATTCACATATTCACAGCCAACTGATTTTTAAGAAAGGCTTCAAGAACATTCATTGTGGAATGGACAGTATCTTCAATAAGTAATGCTGGAAAAATTGGATCTGTACATAGAATAAAACTAGAACTCTCTCACCATATATAAAAATCAATTCTAAAAAGATTAAAGACTTAAATATAAAACTCAAACTAAGAAACTACTTAGGAAAACATCAGTGAAATGCTTCAAGATATTGGTCTGGGAAAATATTTTAAGGATAAAACCTCAAAACCAGAGGCAAGATAAGCAAAAATAGACAAATGGGTTTATACCAATCTAAAAGGCTTCTGCACAGAAAAGGAAACAATCAACAGAGTGAAGAGACAATCTGCAGAATGGGAGAGTATTTGTAAACTATTCATCTGACAAGGGACTAATATCCAGAATATGCAAGGAACCCAACTCAACAGGGAAAAAAAAAAACCACCAAAATTCATTTAATAAATGGGCAAATGAGCTGAATAGACATCTCTCAAAAGAAGACATAAAAATGGCCATCAGGTATAACATATAAAAAATGATCAACATCTCTAATCAACAAGGAAATGCAAATCAAAACAACCATGAGATATCTTCTTGCCCAGTTAGAATGGTTCTAATCTGTCACCCAGGCTGGAATGAAGTGCCATGATTATAGCTTCTTGAAGTCTCAAACTCCTGGGCTCAAGTGATCCTCTTGCCTCAGCCTCCTGAGTAGCTGGGAATACAGGAGTGCATCACCATACCCAACTAATTTTTTTTTTTAAACAATGAGGTCTCTTGATGTTTCCAGGCTGGTCTAGAACACCTGGCCTTAAGTGATCCTCCCACCTCAGCCTCCTAGTGTGCTGGTATTACAGGCATGAGCCACTGTGCCCAGCCTAGAAAAGGAAACACTTACACACTGTTGGTTGGAATATAAATTAGCACAGCCATATGGAAAACAATATAGAGTTTCCTCAAAAAAAAAAAACCCAAAAACCCAAAAAAATAGAACTACCATATGACCCAGCAATCCCATTACTGGGTATATAGACAAAGGAAAGAAATCAGTATGCTGAAGAGATGCCTACACTCCTCTGTTTATTGCAGCATTATTTATAATAGATGAGATATGTAATCAACCTAAGTGTCCATCAGTAGATGAGTGGATAAGAAAAATGTGGTATAATTATATGATGGAATACTATTCAGCCATAAAAAAACAATGAAGTCTTATCATTCATGGCAATATGGATAAGCTTAGAGGACATTATTTTAAGTGAAATAAACCAGACACAGAAAGATAAATATTGTATGTTCTCAATCACATGTGGAAGTTAAAAACATTGATTTCATAGAAATAGAGAATTGAGTAGTGGTTACTAGAGGCTGGCGAGGGTGGAGGAGGTGAGATAGCGAGAGGTTGGCTGATAAATATAAAATTGCAACTAGATAGGAGGAATAAGTTCTAGTGTTCTATGGCACTGCAGGGTGACTAAATAACAATTTATTGTATATTGCCAAATAAGTAGAAGAGTGGATTTTTGTATGTTTCTAACACAAAGAAATAATAAATGTTAGAGGAAATGGATATGCTAATTACCCTGATTTGATCATAACACATCATATACATGTATCAAAATATCACACTGTATACCATAAACGTGTGCAAGTATTATGAATCAAAATAGCAATAAAAGCAAAAAAATAGCAAATAAACTTTAAGTTAAAGTGATCAGTCTTAGTGTCTTCATCAAAAGGATTATTTCTCAGTGTTTATGACCCCCAACAGACAATGGAGTGTTTTTAATGAGATCAAAGTGTTTAAGAATTTTCAAATCTCTTGCAAAACAAGAAGCATGACAACTGATCACCCGAAATTTATAAATCAAATGAAATGATCCTTGAGTGATATTTGTTTAAGTATTTAAGTAACAGTGATTGAATCCACTGAGTTCTTATTCTATTCCAGGTGGACTATTTTGGATTTGATGAAGGTCATTCATAGAAAACAAAGGTAGAGAATTAGAGCCAGTCTTCCAATCCTGGCAAAGGTAACTTTAAATAAACAAAATTAACAGAGTCTACATGAAACCATTAAATCAACTATTTCTAAGTCATTGTGTTTTTGTAAGGCCCTTTTAATAACCAGTTTCTGATATTGAAATAATTACCCAGTTTACTAGTTCTCACTCCTGTGATTTTTCAAGTAGGCATTCCAACCCAGAGGCTGTTGGACTAACAATTCTTACACTTGGAACTATTTTGCTCAAGGACAGATTAGAGCAAAAATAATTAATTAAGCTGTACATTTTAAGTAGCTTTACTACTAATGCCTCTTATGGCCGATAAATGAGATCTTTTATAATAGAAAAAAAATTGTAAGGATAAAGGGAATGATTTCCATTTTTGCAGTTAATTTAAAATGTAATGCTTTACTCTCTCTACTTGTTAATATACATTTATCTAAATTCAAACTCTGACACTTTGCATCTACTTTCCTGAAAGTGATTTAATTAAGGACTTTAAAAATATCTAACATTCACATATTCCATAAAATGTCGTGCTTTGCTCTAATTTAACATTGCCACAAGTCATTATTTTTTTTTTATTTTAGTATCATTCCCCATGCACTTTAAGCTATTTAATAAAATGTGTATTCAAGATAAATGTCTGGAGAGGCAACAGTACTACATACCCTCAAAGGTATGTAGTGCTCTTGCACTTTAGTTTGTGATTTAAACCTGGTTGCCTATTTCCCTGTGCTAGCAGCAGCATTTTGACCATTTTATTCAATATGCATAAGTAGTATGAACACCTGCGCAAAGTTCTATTCCTTCATTTGCTCAGAAAAAAAAATACCCATAACTTAGTAATAAGAGGGTGTCAATGAATTATGAATAACTTTTGTGTAAATGAAGGCAATATAATCAGCTCCCTTGTACTAAGCAGGTATTATGATTTTCCACAAGGATTCATTTTAGTTAATTTAAGTTGAATCATTAAGCATTACAATTTGGCAGCTGCCAGAAAGATGACAAAAAATATGCAGTTACAATTGTTCAAGGACATGTTCTGAACTGTTCAGTATATAAATCACCTCTTGGCATTCCTTGAGTCATGATAGATAATAAAACTTTCTCCCTTTAACCGAATTTGGATAACTAACTGGTGACTTTAGTATCACCCAAATGTGAATGCCAATTTTAGCTCATGTTGAAAAAAAAAATCATTTAAAAAAACAGTATTTCTTAATGAATACATTTTGAGGCATTAGTTAAAATATACCCTAAAAAAGGGAAACATTCAGCATTCATAGAAAATGATTTGGTGGTGGCTTGCCCTCCCCTGTAAATAAAATAGATGCTTCTCTAAATATTTCTGGCAAATTATTGTACTGTTAGTTTCTAACTTAACCTTCAGCTTTTCCGCTTAGCCCTATGCTTAGGTATGAATGGACAAATCATAGTGTGGAGGGCATTGGGGATGGGAAAAGAATTAGCTCTATCACTATGAGTAAATTATGAATCTCTGAAATTGGAAAAAATTAACCTGGATAATCTTTAAGAGTCCTTCTAGCACAAACAGATATATTTTCCAAACTAAATTCTAACTCCCTATAAGCAGAAATAAGGTCTTATGATATCTTTCTAATTTTGCAGCCATGAGCATTCCATATAGACATGATTAATTTAAATAAATTAATGAATATGTGTTCCTATTATTTTGTATTTTTGATTCATGTAAAGTATGTTTTCTGATAGATTTAACTGCATTTGTGCTAACTATGACATAACTTCTTACATTGAAGTACATTTTACTTTTAGTTCCAGATTTTTCAGATTTTGTTCCTTTCAGCATTCTGTGTGAATTTCAAGAAGAAAGGAAGGAAAGCTGTAAAGGAATAGGGTTTTTGCCCAGGGAAAATGCTAAAAAGAATCAAAGTGAAGTTTCAGCAAAGGAGGAAGGGGACATTAGGGAAAGCATCACAAGAATGAACTAGGCTTGATCTTGGTACTCTTGATCTTTTGAACTGCAGTCCCTGAGCTAAACCAAGAGTACATATAAACTTCTGATAAGTCTCCTCACTTCTGATGCTGAAGATGACCCAGAGCAATGCTTCCATCATATTCAGGATTTAAAAGCCATTGACCCATGTTTGTGGTCACTCAAGCACTTGTGATACTGGCTCTAGCTCAGATGCATGGGGCACAACTCCTAATTCTGTCACTTTGCTTCCCAAAATAATCTCACTGTAATTTTTGCTGAGAATATGTGGACTCCCAAACCTTTCTTTCCTATTCCTTTTGAGAAAGCTTTTACTTCCTTTGGAATATGTGAATCAGAGAGAGAGAAAAAAAAAAGCCATCTAAGGCAATTACTATTAATAGTAATATGAACCAACCAAAATAATGCTAACAGAAAAAGAAAGTGTTCATTTCCAGACCTTGGTTACTCAGACTTGAGTGAGTATGGGTTCACAAAATTTAACCGTTCCACCAAAAGATACAAGACTGAAGCCAATCATTTTTGAGGTCTGCTATTCAGGACAATTTTTTCCCCCACCATTTATATTCTAAGATCAGCTTTTAAGAGCATCCATTCTCCACAAAATAAACCCTTCCCACTTCCTGCCTCAAAATTCCCCAAGGAAGAGTTAGCTAACACTTACAATCATATCATACTATTCTCAATTATTGTATAATGCAATTGTTTGTGTCTTTTTTCCTTATAATATCATTACCCTAAAAGGAGTTTATACCTAGGGAACTGATAGTGGTTTTTACTCAGGTCAGCATTGGCTAGACCTTCACTCTAATGGTTAATATTATTTACTCAACTAGTTACTTTGTTTCCAAAAATAAACTCATTGAAGTCTATTTCTCCTTTGTTATAAAGTTTCTACTAATGTTTGTTTACTTCTTCTAGTCTAGGTATATTTTCACAAGTTTTTAAATATATAGTATTTTATTTCTTTTAATTAAACTTACTGCTTTTTTTTCAATATAAGAGTTTTCTGTTTTGAGTAATATACCAGTGCTACTAGTATTGAATGGACAAAAGATGTTGAAGACAAATAAAAGCTTTATCACACAAGTTTAGTCCATGGTCATTGCACCCACCTTGTTACCAATAAAGATTTGCCACTGGAAGATATAGACATCTTTTGAGTAAGCATAGTACAATTCTCTAAAAAATTGGATACTTTTAGCATTGATCTATCTATATAAACTCTTTGAATTAGTTTGCATTTCCGGTACTGTCTCTCAAGCTAATAAGCTCAGTAATGACACAGTTTTATAACATTTCTATAATGACATATTTTTATTTGTATTATACAATTTTATCCACTACAGACTTTAGGATTTGCTAAGTCCATGTTTACTTGATTAATTGAATTGTTCATTTTTAAGATTTTGATTCAAATCACTTCTTAGGCTTCAAATTTCAATCATGTATAGTAACAGGAAAAATAAGTATACAGTTGAATATAATTATGTCAATTTTAGAAGTCTTAATAGAAAAACATATGATTTAACCATTTTAAAGATGATTTTTATAACTTTTTCTACAGTCTCATTCAAAATAAATAATGCTTAATAGTTTAGTAATTTAAAATATTTCATCATCAACAAAATAAATGAATGTATTAAAATTTTATAATAAAAAATGTAAAGCATGTCAGCTTAAATGTTCATATGAACATTTCTAACCTCTTATTTGGTCTTTGAAAATTACCAATGAATATAACAATTTTAATCAGTAAAGAAATGGACAAGTTTTAGGTACCAAATTGTTACAGAAAAAAAACAAGTTGGCAGATCCTAATTATGTGATCTAGATTGTTCTTTTTTCCAAGAAGCCTAGTCTATCAAAGCTAAGATTCTTATAATTTTTTTTTCACTTTCATTCTCACCTACAACACAACTGTTTAGGTGAGGGTGGGTGAGTATAATCTCTTTTAATGAAACCAAAACACTGATGCTTTTCAGTTAAGGTAGCACCACATGAGGTACTATGGAGGAATAACAAAGGAAAGGAGTGTTAAATAAGAAAATAAACTCTCATACTGCTCTCCTCTTTCACTCCCCCTTCAGCCATGGTGGCTTCTTCCAGGAATCATAATTCCCACTCAAGGTCTTTGCATTTGCAGTACTCTCTGCCTCAAATGCCCTTCTACCAAAGGCCCATTTGGCCAGCTAACTCTCCCACTTCCTTCAGGTATTTATGTCAGTCATCCTCTCATTGACGTCTTCCCCAAACATTCTCTCAAAAATATCAATCCCTTTGCCTTGATGATTTTTTTTAGTATATATTAATACCTAACTTACCATTTATTTACTTAATTATCTTGTTTAATATCTGTCTTCACCACTAGAATATAATCTCCCATGAGGATAGGAATTTATTTATTTATTTTTATTTCAGAATATTATGGGGCTACAAACACTTTGGTTACATATATGGCTTTGCACCACCCAAGGGGGAGCTACAAGCATGCCCAACACCCAGATATCACAGACTATACCCATTAGGTGTGAATTTACCCATCCCCACCTCCCCCCCTCTCACCTGCCCAAGACCCTATGAATGTTACTTCCATATGTGCACATAAGCGTTGATCAATTAGTACCAATATAATGGTGAGTACATGTAGTGCTTGTTTTTCCATTCTTGTGATACTTCACTGAGAAGAATGGGCTTCAGTTTGATCCAGGATAATTCAAGAGGTATTATTTCACCATTGTTTCTTGTGGCTGAGTATTGTATACATATATTACATTTTATTAATCCACTCATGTATTGATGGACACTTGGATTATTTCCACATCTTTGCAATTGTAAATTGTGCTGCTATGAACATTTGAGTATAGATGTCTCTTTTATAGAATGTTTCCCCCCTTTGGGTAAATACCCAGTAGTGGAATTACTGGACCAATTAGTAGTTCTAATTTGAGTTCTTTGAGGTATCTCCATATTAATTTCCATAGAGGTTGTACTAATTTATGGTCAAGTGTGAGAATTTCTGTGTTTTGTTCACTCCTCTACTTTG